ACAAAATTAAAGATACCTAAAATAACTAAACTATACCTATATAAAGTAATTAGGTAAACTATACCATATAATGTTATTTAATCTAATAAGTTTGCCATATATAAATTTTCCCTTTAATATACCTGATTGAAATCACCCAAACGATCCCTTAAATTATTAAGTTCTCTATAAGTCTATAACCCCTAATTAGTGCTGTATTTTTCTTTTCTTTTCCGCTGGCCGCTGTCGCTGCCGCTGCCGCTGCCTTTTACCTAGCAGAAGCAGAGAGGAGGAGAAAGAAGCAAATAGTGTGCAGAGGAAGAGAAAATAGAGATGTCGAAGACGCTACTTCAGCCTGTAGGCCAAAAGAGACTTACCAATGTTGCTGTTGTGCGTCTCAAGAAGCATGGTAACCGTTTCGAAATCGCTTGTTATAAGAATAAGGTCCTTTCATGGCGCTCTGGCGTGTAAGTTTTTTCTTTCTTTGATTGTTGTTAAACACTAAAAAGATGGTAGATTTACAATCAAAATAGAGTATTGTAAAAAGGGTTTGAAGTAAAAACTTAGGGTAAGGGAAAAAAACTGGTGGATTAATAAGTATTGTTAGGTTGATTGATTTTTTGTTTGTGGTACATGTAGAGAGAAAGATGTGGATGAAGTGTTGCAGTCACATACTGTTTACACCAATGTGTCAAAGGGTGTACTTGCAAAGTCTAAAGATTTGATTAGGGCTTTTGGAACTGATGATCAAACCAAAATCTGCCTGGAGGTGAGCACTTCTCCCCCCTTTCGAAAACCATTTGAAACATTAGTCATACTGCACTAGATACCGACTAGGTGGACAGAGTTACTTGGTATTTGTTTGGTGGGAGGTAGCAAGAGGTGAGAAAGCATTTAAATTTGTTCATAAGTATGTATGGAGAATTACTTTTGAACCTTTTTGATTTCCTTCTCTCTATAGCTTCTTGTTTCCTATTTTTTTCTCCTACTGATATACATATGCCAATTACAAGCATGACACTTGCTTAACATGGATATGTTAAAAACTGGTACTTTCTTATCTGGCATATGAATATCATGATTTTGTGAAGTAATTCTGAGGAATTGTTTTACTTTGTACTTTTTGATTGTTTGGGCAATATTTTAGAAATTTTCATTTCTTGTTTTAATCCAATTCTGCCTTTCTGAATCATCAAGATGAAAAATTGTTTGTTTTTAAATCCAGTTTTGCTTGTTCTAATTGATAAGCGAAGTTAGTAGTTATAAGCTAATCAGCGTGACACACCCTTCAGAACTTGTGATGCATAGGATTCAAAAGGACCTCCTATAAGCCCATGGTTTTAATCATGTTCAACACATTAATAAGTTGATAACTCAAGCACTTGCCCATCAAAATTGTTTTTAACTTGTAGCAAAGAAAGCAACTTATTTAAGTGCCACCAAGTGGTATTCCATATTCCCTCTATCCTCATCCCTTCTTTAACTCTCCTTTTAAGCAATACATGGGAGTGATGTATTATGTAAAATATATTTTCCGTATTTTAGATTTTGGACAAAGGAGAGCTGCAAGTTGCAGGGAAGGAGAGAGAATCACAGTTGTCAAGTCAGTTCAGAGATATTGCTACCATAGTTATGCAGAAGACAATCAATCCTGAAACTCAGCATCCATACACTATTAGCATGATTGAACGTCTAATGCATGAAATCCATTTTGCAGTTGATCCAAATAGTAGCTCAAAGAAACAGGTAACAACTATACTTAATCTTGTGAGAATTTGACTGCTTTTTTAGTTCTTTAGTTTTAGAATCCTAATGATCAATTAACTTCTACAGGCACTGGAGGTCATTCGGGAGCTTCAAAAGCATTACCCCGTAAAACGTGCCCCCATGAGGTTGAGGATTCATGTACCAGAACAAAGCAATCCTTCTGTCCTGGACAAGCTTAAGGAGTGGAATGCCTCCATTGTGTCAAGAGAAGAATCTGGAAGTCAGCACTCCATTGTAAGTGACATCTACATTTGAAACCTCATATAGCACAAGAGAAGTCCTTGTCTAATTTTTCTGGCACTTTTGCAGCTAGAGGTTTCCAAATCTTTTATTCTGGGATTTTATTTTCAGTCAACTGCTCTCCCTACCTTCATATTAAAAAATTCCAACAAAAAGGGATCTTTTGTTCTGGGATGCTTACATGTGTATCAATTTTTTCTTTCTCAGAAATTTTTAAAAAGTTGAAAAGAAAAAGAAAGAAAACAAACAAACAACAACTGCTGACAAAAGAAATCAAAGAAACGTAACATGGGCTTAAAAGAGCGAAGCCCAGTATTTAAGTGGAGAAGGGTAGAAGGGTGGGCCCATTATCCACCGGCTGTGATTGGTCCATAGGGCGGGTCATAGGCAGATTTCTCGATTATCAAAACAAAAGAAAAAGGAACCAACTGATGCAATAAAGGAAAAAATCAAAGAAAGAGAACAGGAGACAATGGACAAAGTTTGATTCCTCAGTCCCAAAAACACTAACACTGCTTTAAACACAATCACTAACTGATGCACAAACCCCCTTTATCTAGAAATCACCCGTTGGTAGGCTTGTCTCCTGATTTTTCCTTTCCAATTCTGACTCTCCCTACTTTTCGATAAACTCTTGTGTTAGTTTTATCGATTGTGGGTCAGAGTTCAATTGGGTTTAGGGAAATTCGGAGAAGGTGGGGCAAACTTCAATGCTGAGTCTGGGCAAATCTCATGTGGTGAGGCAACCCTCAACGAGGATGCTGAGTTCATAAGAGGGTGTGTGTGTGACACCCTAACTTAGGTTAAGAGTCCCATACGGCGCCACATGAGAGATGCTGGTATATAAGTGAGTAGGCCTTGCACTCTGCTGACACCTTTTATAAGTAAGTTAGGATCTTTGTAAGTAGCTTTCTCCTACTCTCTTTTTGCTTCTTTTTGAAGGTATCCAGCATAACCTTAATGGCTAATGTTAAGGAGTACAACTTTACCATTTTTTTAAAAAAGGTCGTGCGGGTTTAGGCCCCAAGCAGAAAATATCACTGTCTGGGCATTAACAGATGATATCATAGCCGCTCATGTGTCAGTCTTGTTGGCCAAAAATTAACATGTAGTTCACCTAAAATCAAGCTATCATAGCAAGATTTTACCACAAATTGATCTTTGCCTTTCCAACCCATCCTGTCCTGGCACTGCGACATACCTTGAAAGGTCGGAAAAGCAGTAGCAATTCATCAAGTTAACTCATTTCCCAATTCCCAGTCACTCGAAATGCCTCTAAAATTGAAGTTCCTACTATCATTACCTCGGAGGACACTATGTTTGCTTCTTGCATCAAAGAAGTCAATGTATGTTAGGGACAACTCTTTTAGAGGGGCATGGTATCTTGTTTCATAAGTTCAGATCCTCAAATGTTTAGTGATGTGATCAAGTTCATATTATCAATAGATTCAGTTCCATTTGTATTGGGCTAAAAAGTGGAATTTCTTTCTATTCCATATGGTTTGCTTACTTGTGTTTTTTTACCGTACAATGTTAAGCGATTTAAGAACTGCTTTTGATGCAGACTGATCTATTTGGTCGACTCTCTTGAGTTCTGTGACTAGTTGTATTAGTGGTACTTGTTAGACATAAAATATTAGGTTCCGTTCTTTCTTATAGATCAAAGAGGATATTGAATGTTATAAAAGGAACATTTGGTTAGGAAAGGCTAAAGCTTATTGGGCTTCATTGACGACTTATAGCTTAGACATTGTTCACTCGGGTCTGTGCATATAGTCTTTGTGGTACCAATTAGTAGCACTACA